TGTCCCAAGGAGGGGGCAGATGGACAAGGTGGGCTATAGGGTGAGGCCCAGACTCAGGCCCACTCTGCATTGAGGAGGACACCTTCAGAGTCACCGACATGCTGTGACTGAGCTAGGACAGAGCTGGGGAGTGGGTGAGGGCAAAAGGCCTGCATAGCCTTCCCCTCAGGGCTCATCCTTTCCCCATTTAAAGTCCCTGCCATTGGGCTGGAGCTACAGCCATGCTGGCCAGGGCCATGGGATGACTGTCATGGGATCCTTCTTCCATAAAGAAATAATAGAAGTGGTATTTTATGACTGCAATGGCATAAAGATAAATACAACCCAGGCTGAATTCATTCTGTATCTACTTATTATATTCTTTTTCTTCTTCTAATATTTTAAAAGGGAGCTCTGGTGGTGTAGTGCCTAAGGCATTTGACTGCTAACCAGAAGGCTAGCAATTCAAACCCACCAGCCACTCCTCGGAAGGAAGATGGGGCAATCTACTTCCGTAGTGACACTGCCTCGGAAACCCAAGGAGGGGTCACTATGAGTGAGGATTGACTCGACAGCAATGAGTTTGGTTTGTCTGAGTTAATTTTTTTTTTTTAATTAAAATTAGAACATTTTCACAGGGCCCTAAAAAGTCTCATACGCCCTCAGCTGCTTGCTGAACGTGCTGGAGGAGGCCCCGACCCTGGCCACATCTGTCGCAGAGCCTGGCCCTGCTTCTCGTCTGCTCCCCCAGGCTGGGCAGGAGGTCTTTAGGATCCTCAAAAGCATGTACCCTGCCTCCCTGCTCATCTATCCAGCAACTAGGGGCTTTTTGGGTAAAGGAATAAGAAGCAGGGACTGAAATGAAAAGACAGAAGAGAGAGGGGGAACACTCATTCAGAGAGTGTACATAACTTAGCTCAGGGCAGTTTATTATTATTATTAAATTTTTATTGTGATTTGGGTGAAAGTTTACAGAGAAAATGCACTTTCCATACAGCAGATCACATACACTTTGTCTCATGACATTGACTACAATTTACCACAATGCAATAGCTCCCCTCCCACTTCCACCCCATAGTTACTTCCCTGTGTCCTTCCCTCCCATGCACTCCTGCCCTCCGAGCTGTCTCCCTGTACATACACAGCCCTTCTGTTCTCCCATGATTGTTCTCTCTAAGGAGTATATCTACCTAGTGTAAATGTTCAACTCATATGCCTGTCTTTTGTTTGGCTGAAAGCCACAGGATTGGGTTCAATTCCAGACCTGAAGGGCAGCTAGGGGCCATAATCTCAGGGGTTCCAACAGGCTCTACCAGACCAGCAAACCTGGTCCTTTTTTTTAATGATTTTGAGTTTTGTTCCACATTGTTCTCCCACTCTATCCAGGATCTCCTACAGAGATCCCTCAGGGCAGTTTTGTAAAGTAATAGAAAGGGCACTAACTCAGGGCCCAGGTGCCTGCAGCAGAGCCCTGGTCACCAGCCATGGCCTAGTCACCCTCTCACCGAGCCCTTGCCAGCCTAGCCCAGGCCACAGCACAGGAGGCAGGGGTTGGGGAAAAAGGGTGCTTAAGGATATTGATTATGTGTCCCATGCAAACCCTGAGCTAAGCATATATATATATTTTTTTTTTTTTAATTGTGATTTGGGTGAAAGTTTACAGAGCAGATTCATTTTCAATATAGCAGCTCATACACATTTTGTCTCATGACTGACTATAATTTCCCACAGTGTAACAGCTCTCTTCCCACTTCCTCCTCATAGTTATCTCTTCCCTGTGTCCTTCCCTCCATGCACTCCTGCCCCCAAGTTGTCTTCCTGTGCATACATAGCTCTTCTATTCTCCCATGATCGTTCTCTCCGAGGAGCATATCTACCTAATGTAAATGTCTACCTCATATACTTGTCTTTTGTTTGGCTGGAAGCCTCAGGAGTGGGTTCAACTCCAGACCAGAAGGGTAACTAGGGGCCATAGTCTCAGAGGCTTCACCAGGTGCTATCAGACCAGCAAACTTGGTCCTTTTTTTCTATGATTTTGAATTTTGTTCCACGTTGTTCTCCCTCTCTCTATCAAGGATCTCCTACATAGATGGCTGACAGTGGTAGCTGGGTACCATCTAGTTCTGGTCTCATAGTCATATAGGCTGAGGATGACATGATCTACCAGTCCCTTGGACTAATTGTTTCCATGCGTCTTTGGCTTTCTTCATTCTTCTTTGCTCTGGATAAGGAGAAACCCATTGTTGCATCTAGATGGCCACTTGCAACTTTTAAGATCCCAGTCACTATTCACCAAAGTAGGATGTGGAACAATGTTTTTGTGTAGTATGCTATGCCAATTGAGCTTGATGTCCCTGGGACCATGGTCCCAAGCCCACAGGTCCAAATACTTGCTCCCCCTTAGTAGCTGGCTGTGGCCAAGAAGTCACCACAACCTTGTCCCTTGTCGGCTCCACTATATACCTAGACATTTAAGCATATTATTAACTCTCTCAAGAACCCTATGAGCAATGTTCTATTATGATCCCCATTTCACGATGAGGAAAGTGAGGCTCAGAGAAGCAAATACCTTGGCCAAATCAGCAGCAGGACCCAGACCCTGACCTAGGCCTGTCAATTGTCAAAGACCAGACCCAGAAGATGCTGCAAAAGTGCTTTGCAGGCTGGTCCACAAGCGCAGGCATTCAGTGTCAATGCAGGAGGAGGCTGCCCTCCTTCCTGTGCCCCACATGCCACTAGGAAGCCAGTTCCCAGCTCAACAGCAGGAAGCACACACGGCTCCCACCTGTTCCCTGTCCCGGAAGGCTCTGTCAGCCTGGCCAGGAAGGTTGGACCACAGCTGCCACCCAGATGGGCAGGAAATTCAATTTCCCACTGCCACTGCCAAGCCAGCTTGCCCCAGCCCTACAGGTGCTGGGCCATTCTCCAGCCCCCCTGACCTAGGGCCAATGGCTGCCAGTGTCTCAGTGACCCAGTCACCTTCTCTTCCCTCTGACATGAGGAAATCACTCCAGGACCAAAGGCAGAGGTGAAAGAACTAGAACAGGCAGGCACATCAGTCTGGGATCCAAAGATACCAGATGTGCTGAGAAGAAATCAGGCAGCAAGCAAGAAGGGATGCCTGCTCACAGTAATGCAAAATGCAGTCCCCAACTCCACCCCCAGAGCATCCTCACCTCTCATCATCCAGAACCTGTTGGCTAATAACAGTGACAGCAGCACTTATCAGCCCACTGTGGCACTTTCTATTTCTCACTCCCACAACACCCCTAAGACCAATGGCCAGAGGCGGGGCCTGAGGTTCGGACATGGGAAGTGACCAAGCTCACCCAGTTGGTAGGCAGCAGGATCAAGCCCAGCCCCATCCCTGGAAGCCACAGTGTGCACAAATTAATGGCACAGACTCTGTGGTTCAAATCCCAGCTCTGCTATTTGCCAGCTGTGTGACTTTAAGCAAGTCACTTAACTTTTCTCTGCCTTGTTTTCCCCATCTATAAAGAGGAGCTCTGGTAGTATAGTGTCTAAAGCACTTGACTGCTAATCAGAAGGCTAGCAGTTCAAACCCACCAGCCACTCCTTGGCAGGAAGGTCAGGCAATCTACTTCTGTAGTGATACTGCCTTGGAAATCCAAGGAGGGGTCACTATGAGTCAGGGCCAACTCAATGGCACATAACAATAACAACAACAACATAAAGAGGATAAATGACAGCATGCACCTCAGTGTTTTGTTGGAAGGATTAAATATGTTAGTACACGAAATATGTGTAGAGCTGGCCCTGACACGTGGTAAATAGCATAGAAATATTAACCAATATTTTTATTATTGTTAGTATCAGGTTCCGAAGCTCACAGCTTCCCACACCCAGACTGGCCTACCAAGTGGCCAGCCACAAAGTAGGCTTTCTATAGGGAAAGTCTGAGTACATCCTCCCTTAAAAACTCTCAACACCACCCAAAGGAAAAAGTCCAAACTCCTGTACCCAGCTCTTGAGGCCCGGGGATCTATAGCAGTTATGGCCTTACCTCTCCCTACTTCTCCATATTTCACTTCCAGCCTCGCTTCCGTGCCACTGGGAGATTCACACATATTGTTCCCCTTTGCCTGGAACACTGTTCCACAGCTCTTCACTTGACTGATTCCTCTAACCTCAGCTTAGACATCATCTCCTCTAAGAAGGCTTTCAGGCCCCCACTGCAGGGTTAGCCCCCTTCCCTGGGTTCCATAGCGCCCTGTGGGGATGCCACTTCCAAATGCTTGGTACACTCGATTCTAACTGCCTGGTTACTCTTCCCTCCTCAACTCTATGAACAACATGCAGGCAGAGGTGGGACTCACCTGCCATAGTACCCCCAACACAGGGCATGGCACACAGGCACCTAGTGGCCACATTTTGGAGGAATGATGAAGGAATGAAGGCAAAGGGCAGCCCAAGCTTGGGAGAACCCCAACCCTGAGATGGCATCATTTCTACCAGGGGCGAGACCCTTCTGACTGGGCCGATTCAGGCCCCTGGCTGAGTGCTCAGGAGACAGGCCTGGGAAGCCCCTTGGCCAACCCCCAACCCTGGTCCTACCTGGCCACCTGGCCCAGATGAGAACATTCTCAATTCTCTGTGCTTCCTCAACTCCCAGCACCTGTCTCTACTGCCATGGCCAGAGCAAACCCTCAGAGCTCAATCTGTCCCGGCTCAGCATGCCAAGGAGCTGTGCCCACAGCTTCCAAGCAATCCCCACTGCCTGAAATCCAGGCCTGGCACTTAGACACCACAGAAATCACAGACGAGGCCACACATCGGCCACAGAAAACTCCAAGTTCCTCATCTGCATAAAGGGGACAATAATCCCTTCGTTTATTAAGCCCTCACTACGGGCCAGACTCTGTGCTAAGTGTTATGTGCCTGATCTCATTAACCCTCAAAGCAACCCAGTGTCTACATTGCTCTATTTCCTTCTCAGAGACAGTGCCCAGGGCTGGAGGGGGTGAAAGGACGAGGATGGTGGGGACAAGGTTTATACTTACATCCAACCTCTAGCCGGATTTCCGCAGAGGCATCACCCAACTCATTGATGGCTCGGCAGGTGTAGACGCCAGCGTCCCTCTCCTGAGTTGCCTGGATCCGCAGGGTCCCAGAGCCAAAGCCCTCTGGGGCCAGAATCATTTCAAGACTCCCTGGACCAAAGGTAAGAAAGCATTGATATAGATGAGAGGTCACCACAGGAGGCCAGGGTGTCAGGCCGCACGAGACCTGCTGATCTCAGATTCTTGTGACCCCATGAGGCTAGGGCCCCATATCAGCTATGTCGAAACTGGGCTGGGGATGAGTGTGGGGGACTGCTGGAACAGGCCAGGCTTCCGAGATACTGCATTCCCGCTGCCTCCCAGTCCCCTTCCTGGGAAGATGATTTTCCAGAGCCCCAAGCCCCCACCCCAGCCAGCATACCTCGATACCAGATGACCCGGGGCGGGGGGACCCCAGAAGCCTCACACACCAGCACAGCCTCCTCCCCAACAGCAGCAAGCACCACGGCATTGACAGCAGAGACTGAAGGTGGGTCTGTGGGGGTGGATATGGGGAATTGGGGACCAGGCCTGAGGGGACAGATGTAGAGCTCCATGGCCCTACCTCTTCCCCATCCCTACCCATCAGGAATAGTCACCTCAGAAAGATCTGGCCACAGCCTGTTTGTTAGAAGCTTTCCACCCAGGATCTTAAATTAATCACTCTCCTGGCCAAAGCACCCCCACCCTGCCCCAAAACTCCCTAGTGCTCATCATTGAAACTGAGATGAAAGCCAAAGTCCTATAAGGTCTCAAGATCCTACATGAGCAGCCACCCCCACCCCCACCTCTCTCTCCTCTACTCTCCTCACCCCACCTCTGCTCACTACACCACAGTCTCCTTGAAGGCCCTTGAGTACACCAGGCCTTTTCCCACCTCGGGACTTGTGACCTGCATGTCCCCCTGCCCAGAATACTGTTCCCATCCATGGCTCTGGCCAGGGTCACCTCCTCAGAGCCATTTCCCTCTCACCCCCACACTCACATCACTCTATTCCATTTTTTTAAGTATCTTTTTGACTTATCAATATATATGTTTGTTTTCTGCCTCCCTCATTAAACATAAGCTCCATCTGGACAGAGACCTCTTGTTTACTGCTATCCTTTAGCGCCTCATAGTAGATGCTCAATAAAGACTGTGAGAGGACAGGAGGCAGGAGCGACAGAGGGAAGAGGGAGGGAGTGAGAGGAAGAGGGAGGCCCCTCCCCTGAGATGCCCAGGATCCAAGTACCTGTATAGTACAGTGTGACAGTCTTCTTGTCTGTGCCAACCTCATTAGTAGCCTGGCAGCTGTAATTCCCAGCATCCTCTGGGGCTACTCCTTGAATGATCAGTGTTCCCTGGGCATCTACAAGGACTCTGGAATCATGCCATAAAAACAACATGTCCCACAGCAGGGGCTGGTTAGGCCAGATCACAGAAGGGTTGCTCTACACCCATCACTAATAACAAGTTAATTCACAATATCTCTGGTGACCGTATTCTCCACTGACCACCATTCTGTTCTATGCCAAGCTGTGTGCTGGGCACTTCACATGCATTATCTTATTTGATTCATGAGGCTCGAAGAGGTGATGGGACTTGCCCGAGGTCACCAGCCTGCATAGTCAAGACAAGATCCGAGTGCAGGTCCATCAGCTCCAGAGTCTGCGCTCCTGACCACTGAGCCCACACTGCTGCCCCTTGATGTTCCTGAGGCTCAAATGATCCCAAGGGAAGGCCAGGAAAATGCGACTCCCCCATTCACAGGCAAGAAGACCAAGGCCTGCAGAAGTAACACAGCCCAGGTGCCCCAGGTCCTTGTCTACCTGCTCCCAATCCCAGGGCCCTGGGCGCCTCACCTGCTGTTCTCTTGTAGGGTGTGGCTCTCTCGGCTCCAGGAGATGTGGGGCGTGGGGTACCCAGAAGCTGAGCAGCTCACCCTCACCTCCGTACCCTGAGAGAAATGTTGGGACCTGGTGTGGATGCTGACCTGTGGGGCCTCTGGGGCCCAAAGAGTGGAGAAGAGCCCATCAGAGCAGCTATGCCATCCCAGGCCCCAGGCCCCTCCCCCATAGCCACAGATAGGCAAGACAGAAGAACTAAAAGGCTCAAAGGGCCTGGAGCCTGGGGAGTGGCTTCCTTGGGAATGGGTAGACCAGGAGGCCACCCAGCATACACTTCCCCCCCCATTCCAAACCACATGGGGAGCAGATTTCCCAATGCCCCCCAGCCTGGGAGCCACAAACTCCCTGGAATCCTGCTTGGAGAAACTTAAGGCGATGTCAGACAGCTGCTAGGGCTAGGAAGACTCTGGCTTTTATTCCAGGTGAAGCCCAAGGACTGCCCCAGAACTGGCCCCAAATTTATGTTCTATGCTGGCTCTCTGAAGCTTACAGTATAAGAGACTGGTCAGGCTTACATAGACCTCCTGGCCATCTCATCTAGAAATGGCAATCATACCCCCACCCCACAGCTGTGGCAGACATAGCTAATGGATCTCCTATCTACAGAACCTGTCTATGGCCTCTGAATCCTCTCAATACATTCAAGGCAGCCACTGCCAAGCAAGAATAGCTGGCGTGGGAGAAAAAACTTTGTCCAATACCCTTATTTTTATACTTGGGGAAACAGCACCCTAAGTGTCTAAATCCTGGGTAGACCAGAGGCCACAACTTAAGTCTCTTAACTTCCAGACCAGTACCCTTTACACTGCCTTCTCCACCCCTATCTGGTTACTGCTGTCCAACCCTGCCAAGTACATCTGACCTCTGGGCTTCCACAAGTTTCCAGTATCCTGATATATGCCCTACCCCTTAAGAACACAGACAGGAGAGGAATAAGAGAGGCACTCGATAGCAGGAGAAAAAGACAAGAAAGATGAAATTGGTCTGGCCTATAGCAATAGAGCAAGGAGTTCTGGGAGCACAGTGCCTAAGGCATCTGAACTGCTAATCCGAAGGTTGATAGTTCAAACCCACCAACCACTCCATGGAAGCAAGACTGGTCAATCTACTTCTGTAAAGATTTACCACCTTGGAAACCCAATGGGGGTCACTATCAGTCGGAATCAACTCAACGGTCGTGGGTTTGGTTTGTCTTTTTTTTTTTTTTTTTAATAGCAGTAGATCACTATGGGTCAGAATCAACTCAGTGGCAGTGGGTTTGGTTTTTGGTTTTATAGCAGTAGATACTCAGGTTAGGATGAATTCCCAACAGTAAGGATCATCAGACTTTGGTATAGGTGGTCACAGGAGATTACAGGATCCTCTTTCCCTAAAGATTCAGAGACCACAGAAAGGGCTGGTGTTGTCTGCCAGAGATGATGCCTGAAGCAGAGGGACAGATTCTCGTCTCTTGAGGTAAAATCCAGGTAGTGTGTTGAACTGCAGGGATTGCAGTGACAAAAAGAGCCTTACCTCGCACCAGGAGCCAGACGGATGCCCTTGTGACTCCATTGGCATTGCTGGCCACACACTGGTACCGCCCGCCATCACTAGGGACAATGTCACTGACCTCCAGGGATAGGTCAGCCAGCTGGGTGACTCGGCCCGATGAGGTGGGCAGGACCCGCCAGTCTCGAATCCAAGTCAGGTTGTAAGGGGCCTCACTGAGGACCCGGCAGGACAGGATGGCAGTCTCCCCTGGGGACACTGTCACGTTGGGGTCAGGGACCAGCTGTGGTGGGGGATCTGCAAGAGTACGAGCACAGAAGGGTCTAAGGCACCAACAAGAGGAGGTGGCCATCTTGCAGGCCCTGGCAGGGTCCAAACTCTGGAAGCCTGCCCCAGGCCCAGCACAAAGGCTCTGCAGCCCACACCATACACCACACCCGAGGACACATTGGCCAACAGAGCCATTCACCAGCATCTGCTCTACATCCCAGGGGATGGCGCTACCCAAGGGAGGGCTCCTTCTGCCCCTGCCATCACACCCTCCCAGGGCTGCATGGCATGTGCGTGCCTTCCAAGCCAAAGCCAGCAGCAATGTTTAACAAGCATTCCACCACTCTTCACACCCTCTGAGCCGATAATTCCACCCTGGGGAATAAAGCCTCGGAAATAACCCTCAAGGGCGAAAGCATAATGCATACAAAGCTGTTCTCTGTGCAAACAGCAAGGCTATTTATAACAGCCAAAATTTGGAAATACGGTCACTGCCCCAAATGAGGGGAGAGCTAAGCAAACTGCTATCTTGATAGGAAAAAACCATGTGAGTGACACATTCGGAGACTATCCAACACAGACAGGGGCCTCAGAACCAGCAGGGAAAAGCTGGAACCAAACAGCTTTTCAGAAATAAATCGCCAGCCTTTTCTTCCTAGTCTTAGTCTGGAAGCCCTGCTGAAACCTGTTCCGCATCCTAACAACACGCAAGCCTCCACTGATCGGGGGTGGTGGGTGAGCATGAGGTGGGATGGCCAGGAATCAAACCTGGGTCTCTCGCATGAAAGGCAAGAATGCTACCACTGAACCACCAATGACAAGCGTTAAATCTGAGTAATGGGTATGTTCATTTCTTTATACTGTCTTTCTACTTGATAGTACTCATTACAATTTATAAAAAGTAAAATCGTATTCATTCATGCCATAGAAGCAAATCTGTTGACATGCTATATTGTTGAGTGACAAAAAGCAGGTTGTAAGTCAGTATAGTATCCTGTTGTTGTTCAAATGCACACATAGGCAAAGGTCTGGAAGGAACTAAGTGAAATGCCAGTGAGGTTATCTCTACAGAGGAAGGGTTACAAGTTATTTTGATCTTCTTTTTGTTTGTTTGTATCTTTCAACTTTTCTTCAAGGACCATGAGTCAGGTTTTTGTTTGTTTGTTTCTTAAGATTAAAGAATGTGGCTAATTTTTCTACATTCATTAGATTCCTTTTCTTCTCTTCAAGACAGTTGAGGTTCAACTATGGCCCCTAGCTACCCTTTAGGTCTAGAACTGAACTCACTCCTGTGGCTTCCAGCCAAACAACAGACAGGCATATAGGGTGAACCTTACATCAGGTAGATACACTCCTTGGAGCGATTAGTCATGGAAGAACAGAAGGGCAGTGTTTGCACAGGGAGACAGCTGGGGGCTGGGGAGTACATGGGAGGGAAGGACACAGAGAAGAGGTAACTATGGGGAGGAAGTGGGAAGACAGCTGTTACATTGGGGGGCATTGCAGTCAACGTTGTGAGACGAAATGTATATGAACTGCTGTATGGAAAATGAATTTTCTCTGCAAACTTTCACCCAAATCACAATAAAAATTTTAAAAAATTAAAAAAAAAAAAAAAAAGACAGCTGAAGTTTATAACATAAAGCAGATCCTGGAAAGTACTTGGGGTCAGCCTTGTCCCAAAGGCCAGATCAAGAATCAGGGGTAAGCTTAAGGCTGGCAGGGCAGGCATGAGTGGAGCCAGGGTTTTCAGTTTTCCTCCAACTGCAACCCACAGGCCACTTCCAGAGGAGACAGCCACAAATGGAGGCCTGCAGGCAAGTGGCAGCAAGGACAGCTAGACTCTGGGTGGTAGACAGTCCCCAGCAGCTGGCTGGCTGTCATGCTACATGGATGGGGACACCCTAGGAATCTAGCCAAAGGGTAGAAGAGGGGACTTTAGCCCAAAAGGACAGACCTGTGATGACAATCTGGGCCTTTGCTCGTCCAGTCCCAGCCCTGCTGACCGCTGCACACTCGTATGTCCCCTCCTCAGCCTTGGAGGCCCGTGGGATCTCCCAGCTGCTGTTTCCTGACTGCCTGCAAACAGGAAACAGCAAGAGATACAATCACATTAACTCCAGTCAGGGTCCCCCATAGTCTCATGTGCCTCTCAGGGACCTCAGTCCCTTGAATCCTGCCCAGAGGGGAGACTTCAAATCCTCTGTGAGGCTTGGTAGGAAATGGCAGCAAACAAGACCTTGCAAATTCCATGATGTGCTGTGTGATTCTGGGTAAGTCCCTTCCCCTCTCTGAGCTGTGGATTTCTATGCAAAGGAGAGGGTCCTTTTGGCCCTGACCCCCATGGAGCCCTGTCAGCAGCCAGGCCCAGGGTAAATTACATTTTCCAGAGACTGAGGAAGGCCTATGGCTCTTTCACAGGGTGATGGCCCAGCAGGAGTGTGAGCAGGGACTCACTCTTCTTCCCTGCCCAGGAGGACAATATGACTGAGACTAAAACCCCTCTCTTACGGCCCATTCCCCTCAGATCCCTGGCCAGTCATCAGCCACTCACCAGAACTGCCTCTCTTCACCCAGCTTGGCTCCGTCTCGCCGCAGCTGCAGCCTGAAGGGGAGGGTGCTGTGTACAGAGCAGGAGACCAGCAGGGGCTGCTGCAGGTAGCCATGGATCCTGGAAGGCATGCTGACCAGGGGGGCACCTGCAGACAAGGACCAGGACTCAGCATTCCTCCCTGCTACCTACAGCCTGCCTTCCCCACACCCAGCTACATAGAGACCCCTAGAGAAGAACCAGGAGCCACAAGCCAGGACTCAAGCCTGGCTCTACTGTCTGGTGGCCCCTGTGAACAAATTGCTTCACCTCGTTAAGCCTCAGTTTCTACCTCTGCAGAATGGGTAATCACAGGAGTGACCTCATCCTGTTGTTGTGGAATACGTATTGATGAGAAATGGTGCATGAAAGGACTTGACATAATGCACAATGCATCGAAAGTGCCATCAACTAAAGCAAGTGTTACTTTCTGGTTTGTGAGATTATTTAACTCGAGACTGGCCAGATGGACAAGTCCCTTCCTGACTCTGGGTCACCATTTGCTCAACTGTGTTTGATAGAGAAGTTGGACCCATCCTGAGAGCTGATGAAATGCTACCAGGCTGGGATCAGGCTCCTCAGGGGTGTGGGCAGGGCTGTGCAACTGATCTTCTGCCTAGAAAGGCCACTCTACCCAGAGATGCTGGAGGGAAGCCTTTTTATTTAAAAATAAACATTGTTGATGCATGGCCATGAGTGCAAAATTCACATGCATTTTTAAGATAAAACAAGAGACTTTAGTGAAATCTCACAGCTATAATAGCCCCCTGGGGCCCCCGTTAGACATCACTGCCTCCCTCCTTGACCCTTGATCTTGGGATGACACATATGCTTTCCTTGGCTGTTGGAATTACTTCAATGGAAAGGTCTGAGAAACTCCACCACGGGGTCAACCACAGCATGAGAGTGTCCCACTTGGTGACCCCTCAGGCTTGCAGACAACCTCTTGTGCTATCCTCTCCCCTCTCCCTGGCAGAGATGCTCCAAGAGTGAGACAATGCACCAGACCTCCTCTGAACACAGAGCTGGGAGTGGGGAGGGAGGTGGTGACATCATGCTACAGGCTCCCTGCCACGTCCCCAAGGAGAGGGGTGTCAGACCATTTAGCCACGTCCTCAGCTGTGTGCAAAGCAGCTGCCACTCACCCACACACATTGGCAGCCTCAGCACGGCCAGCTCAGGCTCCCAGTTTCCATGAGCTGAACAGGCTCAGAGAGCCCACCCACACGCCCAACACTCACCACCCCCATATGTCCAAACTCAGAACGTCCTACTCTGAGCCAAGCTTCCAGCCTCCCAGACCTGAAAGGCTGGGAGAGAGCAAAATCCGAGAAGCGGATTTCCGCCTCTTTAATGTAGAGCTGAGATGGAGACCAAAAGCCAGAGCTGAGCTCTCAACTCTTGGATCTGTCTAAAAGAACAGGGGAGAGAAAATGGGCTGTTATTCCTCCTCTGAAATTCCTTCCTGAAAATTCCTCCTCGGAGCTGTAAAGACCAAGGGAGGAAAGGCCCAGGAAACTCAGCAGGGGAGTGAAGGTCAGGAGGCTGACAAGAAGGTACCTCAGCTCCCCATCCAGCCCTGTCCTGCCCCACTATGGGCACCATGGCCAGCCTCCAGAGCTGCCCAGGGAAGAAGGGCAACTTGCCTCCCTCTGTCCCTTTTTGAGGTAAACAGAGGAGATTGCTTCTCATGGAGATCCCTGGCAAAGAGATGCCAGAACGTAGTAACATCCACTCTGTGAGCTCCTCCCAGGCCACATGCAGAGGAAGAGAAGGAGTAAGCTAGAAGAAGGCAATGGCAGCTGCCACGTGTAGAGGGCCGTGGTCCACAGTTCCCACGGCCTGAGTGCAGTCTCTGAGCACCTGCATGCTGTCTTGTTATATGCATCAGCTTAGGGACCCCTGAGAGCAGCTCTGCAAGGTGGATGGTTTCAGTTTTCTGATCAGTAAAATGGGAACACACCTCAGAACTATTGTAAGCATTCAATGAACTAATGCATGGCAATGACTTGCCTATGGGAAGTGCTCAAAAGTGGTTGCTAGAAAAAGTATTATCATGATAATGAGAATGATGATGATGATGATTATGGAAGAGCAAATGCCCATGTCTTCCTTGCCCATAGTTGTGTTTCCAGTGACTAACACCATGACTGATAGATATATAGTAGATATTCAAGATGCATGTTGGATGGATGAACAGGTGGGTGGATGGATGGATAGATGGACGGACGGATGACTGCACTAAATCCTTGAACTGAGAACCACATCTGAAGCATCTTCCTTGCCTTGTAAGGAATAACTGCCCATAGAAGCTTAATGAACTAACATTTGCTGATCTAATCTAATCAGGAATATCTTCCAGGAAAAAATGGGCCCACAAAGGAATCAGCTGGGCTGGAGGGTTAAGAGATACAACCACTCACCTGGGACCACCCCACTGTAGGCAACTCCGGAAACACGAAGGAGGGGGTTTCCCTCATGGTCTTCACCCTTCACCTTGAGATAGAAGCGCTCCTTGGGGGTTTGAAAGGGTGGCCCACCCCACAGCTGATGGGTGGATCCGTTGGAGAGGAGCTGTGTGGGCAAATTCAGGAGGGGCTGTCCTGAGCTGTGTGAGAGTTCCACCGAGTCTAGGCGGCCAGGTGCCTGTAGGCCCGTGGAGTTGATCACCAGAGAGATGGGCACCCCTGCAGGGGGAAGGGTGAGGAAAGAGGTGCTAGCATCTGCAGTGGGTTCTATGATCCTCTCCTGAGGCCTTAAGGCCACACCTGAGGGATTCAACCTTCTTGGGCCTCCTTCATCCATTCCCTTGCCTTCTCTACCTACCCCTATTCTAACTAACGTTAGGGGTAAGAGAAAGTGAGAGGGGCCATTGTTGCTGTCCATGGTCCTGAAACATCAATGTCCATCCAGGCCAAGCTTCCCAAAAGGTTGGATTGCCTCCCCCATCTCTGCAGACTGTCTCTCGTGCAGTAGAACTGGAAGGGATATTTTTCTCCATCACCACCCTCATTAGCTTTGGGATCGGCCATCATCAGGCAGGCTTCTGGCAACAGCTTCCAATAAGGTATGCATTTTCATCTGGGGGCTCTGACTTCTGCTCACCCTCTCCCTGGACTCAGCTTCTCTTTGATTTTCCTTTCTATCTTGATGTAAATATGGTACTTTTCACACTATCCCAGAACAGATGGAACTGGACTCAGTTTTCATAATTTCCTTAATTGATTTTGGAACTTTGGTCAAGCCTTTCTCTCTTTAGTTATTCTTTTTGTTTGTTTGTTTGCTTGTTTCTCTCTCCGAGATCACAAACCAAGGACCTGTGGATGTGGTTGCTTTGGTCCATGAAATGTCTTAAATTTTCTAAAGAAACAATGAACAATCTGAAAAGTGTACACAAAATTCTAGATGTCCAGATCTCCTGTGGGCTCAGGACCATAGTCTCAGGGGACATCAAGCTCAACTGGCATAACATACTACACAAAAACATTGTTCCACCTCCTACTTTGATGAGTAGCAACTGGGATCTTAAAAGCTTGCAAGCAGCCATCTAGATGCAATGATGGGTTTTCCTTGTCCAGAGTAAAGAAGAATGAAGAAAACAATTAGTCCACATAACTGGTACACACGTGATACTCGGCCTATACCACTATGAGACTAGAAGAACTAGATGGTGCCCAGCTACCACTGTAAACCATTTGGAAGGGGATCTGTGTAAGAGATCCTGGATAGAGTGGAAGAACAATGTGGAACAAAACTCAAAATCATGAAAAAAAAAAGACCAGCTTTGCTGGTCTGATAGAGCCTGGTGAAACTATGGCCCCTAGCTGCCCTTCAGGTCTGGAACTGAACCCACTCCTATGGCTTCCAGACAAATTAAAAAAACAGCATATGAAGTGAACATTTACATTAGGCAGATACACTCCTTGAAGAGATCAATCATGGGAGAATAGAAGGGGGGCAGGAGTACAGGGGAGGGAAGGACACAAGAAAGAGGTAGCTATGGGGAAGAAGTGGGAAGAGAGCTGTTACATTGTGGGAAATTGCAGTCAATGTCAGGAGACAAAATGTGTATAAACTGCTGTATGGAAAATGAATTTTCTCTGTAAACTTTCACCCAAATCACAATAAAAATTTTCATTAAAAAATCTAGATGCCCAGATTTTTGAAAAATGAAATTTTTCATTTGAAAAATGAAATGTGTTGCTCCTGGGCCCCCATCCCCACATCGTGAGAATCCACTCTTGGCATGTGGAGGTTACTGCCTGTGACTGGGGAGTCTGCTGGCGAGTTAGCCAGTCTCCTCTATTCCCTGATGCTCTAGCACTGGGGCCAAGTGTCCATCACTGTTTATTATTGCAATTGCCCTACTCTCTCTCCTTATAAACCTGTCTTGGACCTACCATCTTTATCAAAAGCAGAAATGTAAAAGAGGGTCATGTGGCTCCCAGCACTCATTCCCCTTGAGGACTGGCTCTGGGGACATTTCTCTATCCCTACTCCAGCACCATATTTAGGGCTTCTTTTTCTCCATGCTGGCTTTAGAGCAGAACCTAAGTTTCCTGCTTCTCTCCCTTCTAGCTACTGATAAAACAAACACAGAATGTGCCAGCAGCCCCCTTTTCACTTTAAAGATAACCCTGCTGGTCCTGGCAGGGAAACTGATGAGGGCTGACAAGAATAACAAACATTATAGATTACAGATTTGCAAGAAAGATCTAAAGGTCCATCACACATCACCCTTAGTCATTATTCAGTGGTCCACAGTCAGTTTGACTTGCTTTAGGCCTCTTCCAGCCTCTCTTCTGAGCTTTCCCAACAAATTCTGCCAAATGGCCCCATGATAGAAGACCATATTTTCCAAAACCCAAGTTGAGACTCCTGACCTGTCCATGTCTCATGTCATGGTATTTTCCAGTGCAGAACTCATGTGGGCAGAGCTGGGGCCTCTGCCTGGCCCTGGGGCCCAGCCTTCTCCAGGTGGAACAGGAACAGGATACTCAGACACCCTCAGATGCAGGTGGGCAGCTTCAGCTGGGAAACACTGACCATGTACCTCCAACTTCAACATCCCCCTAGCCTACCCCAACATCCATCAACCTCTAGGGAGTTTAAATGTCCACCGGAACATTCATTCTTTTGTAGTAAGGCATTGTTCTCCTCTGAGGCCAAGCTATGAACTCATTGGCATCTATTATTTTATGCAACTAAGCTAGTATTCATTGGGAAACTAAGTGGGATTCTGGGCAGACAAGTTTTGACACAAAGAAAGGGGAAGTAGAGATTAAAGTTTATTAGTGTTCACCAGGGGAAAGGGGGGTTGTAGCTTAAGGGGCACTGGGTTTCTGTTAAGAGTGATGAAAAATTTGGAAATGGATAATGGTGATGGTTGTATACCACAGTGAACATAATTAATGTCACTGAATTATACATGTAGAAACAGCTAAAACATATATCCACAACAAACAAAAAAGGTGGAAGAAATGAAAGAGAAAACTGAAAGGGAAGGTGTGAACTCAGTACTAAGAAGGACAGCATAGGGATCCTGGAGGCCTTTGGTTGCAGAAAGGATGTTCTAAGGACAAATTACCACAGTGCAATGTGGGCTGGAGCTGATGGAGGTGATGCCGGCCCTGGAAGTCAGTTCACACGACTGTGATATGGGAAAAGGCCCTACTTCAGCTCTGCTGTGTCCACAGTCACACACTAACAGCCAAATCCACTTCTGAACTCCCATCGTGTCCCAAAGCCAAGTCCCAGCTCTTCAGAAGGCAACTCAGCATCACCTCCAGTACCTTGCAAGGGCCACTCAATGGTGTGGTTGAGGTCCAGAGAGGGTTGAGTGGAGAAGCCGGCTCGGAAGTCGATGTTGCTGATGCCCGTGATCCTCACCGAGTGGCGGCCACTGCTGTAGACCTAGCATAGGGCCAGATCCCACATCACCAGAGCATCCAACCCTAGTACCCCAGCCATATGGGAGGCAGCCAAGCTGACCAAACTGGGCTAGGAGAGGCTGCCATGCTTGGGGTGCAGCTTTTACAGACAAGTGGGCAACTTACCTGCTCCCTAAGGGCCCAGCATGACCTAAGTGAAGTGGAAGAAGCCCAGCTTACAACACTCTCTTGAAGCTGCTCTACCTTCCCAACTCTCCCCTAGTTCCTAAAGGCCCTGTCTGTCCTCCTGAACATCTAATTTCCTGCTTTGTCTTCCCCATTGGCATTTATAGCTTTTAGTTCAAAGTAGCTCAGAGCTTGAAAGGCAGGTAGTTGGTGCTGACACCTCACCTACAGCACCTACTGCAGTGCCTGGCACCCAGGAGATGTTCCATAAATGTCTTCCCAATCAGCAGGAGCTCACCTCCTTCCAAAACAGCCGCCTGCTCCATCCCAGGATACTTAGCCAGACAGGTCTTCCTCACATGGAGCCAAGCCTGTCTCCAGTGCCTGGCTTCTAGCACCTTGCAAATCAAAGCAGGCCCTGCTCCTTCTGCCAACCTACCTCTCTGAGTCACCCCTCCAAGGCCACCCTTTCTTCTTCTGTGTGTTCTTCACAGGACATGGTTCTGAGTCATAAGTCAGCTTGATCACCTACCTCTAGATTCAAGTTTCTTCAAGTCCTTAACTGTTCCCACAGTAACTCCAAACCATCCCACAAGGGTTCCTCTCACTGATGCAAAACTAAATGCCTGTCTTTTGTTCTTGGTCCTTTACTTTTATTGATATGCCCTACATATCACCATCCAGGCCTTAATCCCCAAGGCCCCAGGACCCCCAGAGCAGGAAGGAGGGAGATGGTGTCCCAGTCTCCCCAACTCAGCTGTCCCTACCTTGATGGACCATAGTCCAGGATGCTGAGGCTTAAAGGCCACCACCTTGGCTGAGTCAGGGATGTTGAGGAGCACGTTGAGACCCTCGTCCTTCTGCAGGATCTTCCCTGTGGAAGCCCCAAGGACTGTTCAGTCCTCAACACTTTTCTAGGGTGATAGGGGTCCCATTCTATCCCCAGGAAGCTGTGGCCCACCAAACACCAGCCTCAGGCTTCTTGGAGGAACTGACATGAGGGCCTTTTTGATCTTTGGTGGTCCTCAGACTCTACCCCCCTCTACACTCCACCTTCATCTCTCCCCAGGTACTGGATGAATATATACCTAGCTTCTAGACGTTCATGATATTCTAGATATTCATGACATCCTCAGAGCTTTGTGGGGTCAGGTGACTGGGTCCAAACCATACCAACCCTGCTTATGTGACCTGGACAAGCTACTTCCCCTCGTAGAGCCCCAGCTTCCCATCTGAAAATGTGCTACTCATTCTTGCCCTGATCAACCCACATGGAAAACTCAGTGGAAGCCTCCCACTCCAGAGGCAGTCATTATTTCAGTCCCTGTTGTTTGGCTGCTACTTGCCTACCTGCCTCCTGACCCAGCAAGAGCACCCTCCCTCTCTAGACTCCCCTCAGGGTACTCCTGCCTGCCTTGTTCCTGGGGCTTGGGTCTGAACCTTCTCCTACCCTGGGCCTCTTTCTTTGTTCTACCCTGAGCTCCCAGCTCAGGCTCAGGGTCAAAGAAGACACCCACCCAGGAGTGACACATACCCAGCGGGTCACGGACTTCGATCTCAGGCCCCGGTCCGCTCAAGGAGACAGTGACCTCTTTCAGGCTGGGGTCAAAGGGGATCCTCCATGTGTGCTCTCCCTCCTCCTCATGGTCTGTGGATAGCAGGTGCACCTTGGAGGCCTGGATCGCTGACTCCACCCACTTCAGCACCTGGAGAGATAGGTGCAAAAAGCTCTTGCCAGCAGGTACCCATAATCTCTTGCTTGTATCAGGCCCATCCAAAGTGGGGTCCTTAACTGGCTGCCAGCTATGAGCAGAATCCAGTTTCCCATGGGTTTTAATGCTGTATAGGCTTCCCAGGTCAACACTGCCTACACCAGGTCCCACTCACATTTTGTAACCCTCCTGGCTGCTATGGGTTCTGAGTTAGGACACCCGAACTGAGTCATCCAGAGGACTCAGCTGGGGGGAAGAAGCAAGAAGGTTTCCTTGGGCTGGAAACCTTTTCTCACCTCCTTCACCTGGCCAACTTCTATTGCACCCATCACTTCTTCCAAGCAGGCTTCTTGATGCTTCTTGAACATGGATGCACCCTGGAGATCTGGGATCTTCCCCCGACCATGTAGTTCATGCTCACCTACCAAGGAATGTCAGACTACACCCCCCACCCCAAGAGCACTGTGCTGTCAAAGCAGGACTGCAAGGATCTGCTACAAAGTCACTCAGAGTCTCTACTCTGCTCACAACAGATGAGGAATCAGTGGATTGACTTTTCACAATGTTGAGAAATCTTAAATCCTTGTTTTCTATAACTGCTCATTCAATCTAAAATCTTACATGTTTTAGACAAGTCCCCTTGAGAATTAAATAAAAGCTAAGAGTCCTCTCCCTATACCATACCACTTAGGTACACATTTAGGTATGATTTTAGGGGGTTCTCAAACTCCCTAAAAAATACCCCATGAATCCAAGACCATGTGATCCCATGATCCCATGTTAACAACCCTTGAACTAGTCACTAAGCACAAAATTCAGTTTCTTCAAATCCTTACCATGGACTTCAACATATGTACACATATATACCCAGAAACAATGACACCCCAATATTCCAATATTAATGACCACTCTTAGTACCAACATTTTGAGTTTTAAATATCATTCCCCACTAAAAGAAACTAAGATTCCTTAGAGAAATTTTGGTTGATTTCAGGTATAGGACAAGGAATTTTCAAGGTAAGCCTAGAACAACTAGATATTCCATAAAGCAAGGAAGTACTCAAAGACTAATGAAATCATATCAAAAAGACACAGGGACTACCTTGAAGGAACTCCCAGTGGCTAAATTTGAAACAACTTGAGCCCCAAAAAGAATAATGCAATTATTTAAATTAATTGAATTATGTGGTAGCGTAGTGCCTAAAGCATTTGACTGCTCACCAGAAGGTTGGTGGTTCAAACCCACCAGCAGCTCTGCAGAAGAAAGATGGGGCAATCTACTTTTGTGAAGATTTACTGCCTTAGAAACCCAGTGAGGGTCATTGTGAGTTGCAATCAACTGGATGGCAGTGGGTTTGTTTTTGTGTGTGTGTGTCCATAAACAAAAAAACAAATAAACCAAACTCACTGCCACTGAGTTGATTCAACTCATAGCGACCCCTCCTTGGGTTTCCAAGGCAGTATCTCTATGGTAGTAGATTGTCCAATCTTCTTTCCAAGGAGTAGCTGGTGGGTTTGAACCACCAGCCTTCTGGTTAGTAGTCAAATGCCTTAGGCACTACACCACCAGAGCTCCCATGTGTCCATGAGAATACTCAAAAAGTGAAAGAAAAACACAAATAATACAAATAATAGCAATAAAATCTCCTTTGCCACCATCAGAGGTGACTCCTTAATTAACAAGGAAGAAATAAGTATGATTTCTGTCTTTTCAATAGGGATTGTCCTTCAGAGAAAACAAATCATCCCTTTTGATGAGCCAAAGCTCTTTGTCACGGAAGAATGCCAGCTAATAAATGTGGAAAGAATGATGTAACTAGGAAATCATCATTTTGCAATTCCTAATGAAATAATTGTTTCAGGCAAGGATCCTCAGTGGATGCTAAAACCATTAGATGAAAGGTTGATGGGGGATTTGATTCTGATTGGAGCCAGAGCATTACTCCACAGTCCACTGGAGTCGTAAAGGGAAAAACATGGCTTTACAATGCACACAGCTGTCTGTCACCACGTTAACTCAGCAATCAAACTTATCATCATTAATAGTAGGACAATCAGGCATCATTCGTCTCCTGATATGATGCAATAGAAAGGACACACAGCACTGACTATAAAATATCCCTGCCAAAAATGTTAGCCTCTATCCAATCAGCCCTTCAGACATAATTCCCAGTTTAAGGCAGACACAGAGGATAAAGGAACAAGTTAATGACACCATAAGGAAACAATCAGATAAATCCGGAACATAGGACACTGTACAAATCAATGTCTCTTCAATAAGTTTGTGTCAAGGGAAAAAAAAAAAAAAAAGAATTGCTCCAGATTTGAGGGGCTTTTATAGACATAACAACCAAATGAAATGCACAGTTCTTGACTAAGCCCTGATTTGGCAAAAAAATGTTATAAAAGACATTTTGAGGAAGATTAGGGAATTTGAATATGGGCTGAGTATTAGATGATAATTATTAAGAAATGACTATTAATTTTACTAGATGGTATTGTGGTTGCATTGAAATTTTTTTTTTAACAGTCCTGCTGAATTATTTGTGGTAAGGTGTTGTTATGGATTGAATTGTGTCCCCAAAATATATATTGAAATCCTAACTCCTATATCTATAACTATGGTAGCCCGGGTTTAGAAATAGAGATTTCCTTTTGTTATGTTAATAAGGCAATACCAGAGTACAGTGGGTCTGAAACCTAACCACTTTTTTTTTTTTTT